ACATGTTCATCAACATTAACATTCAAGAAACATTCAGCGCATTCACAGTTCATATTTGTATTATTATAGTTTTATTATAGTATAGATACTGTTATTATTGTTATTGCTGTCCATCTCTGTTTCTCTGTCTTTCTCTCACCCAAATTTGTGGCACATTTCAAATCCATCACCACAGCCAAAGAAAAGCTGGTATGGTGAAAGCATATTCAAGAAGTACAGACTAAATGGATCTGTCACGGCTGGTGTTAGGACTGGACCCAGGAGCAGACACCCAGACAGTTTGGAAGGTTTAAAGGGGTTTTATTCCACGCGCACACACACACACACACACACACAGGGGGATGACGGGGCAGCAGGAACGGGCGGGTGAAATGGCGAAAGAGACCGGAGACACAGAGGCACAGGTGAGCAGACACAGGAAGCCAAACTGCACAAAGGGACCCTGGGGCACGGGAGAGAAATGGTTAGCTGGGGAACAGGCACAGGGAAAATCACAAGAGAGCTTGAATTGCTTAACTAAATACTGAAGATGAGAGTTACCACCACATAGGCTGAAACAATCTGGCGATGAATGGGAGGAAGACCGGGGTTCTTGAAGACCAAGGCATGATGAATGATTGAGAGCAGGTGAGACAGCAGACGGCAGGTGAGGAGAATGGAGGCTGCACCCTCATCAGACACACAGGGAAGGAGGAGGAGCAAAGGGAGCAGGAGGGGAGCAGAGCCATGACAGGATCAGCACTGTTGCTATGCTGTAAAGGCTGCAAAAAGAAAGGATTGGCCTCTCTAAGCAAAGACCTGAGGTCTTTTAGTGCTAAGTATGAGGCAATCCACCAGACCCACTATCAAGCTATCAGAGATTTAAAAAAAAGGCTCTAGTGGAACTGAATTTTAGTGTTATTTTATTGTAGGAATATGTGCGAAGAAGATGATGATGTATTGTTGAAAATTTGAAATACAACAGTTAGGCTATAGGCCTTTTCTCTGTAAAATTGAATAAAAGCTCTTTGAAAAAACAAAAGAATAACCATAAAATAGATTATTGTAGGTGTTATGATAAATCAAAGCATTTGTTGGTACATCGAACTATGTTGGTGCAATCAATTAATTTTGGCTATCAAAGTTTATTAATTATCAAAAGATATTAGAAAATTATGTTTTTAATATAGAAAATCCCCGGGGCACTAATGATGAGCCAATGATTGATTGATCAGTCTCATAAATTATACAAAACTATTCATTTAGAAATTGGATTAATAATGAAATTAATATCTATAACCAAAATCACTATTAATAGTTAAAGTGTAAGGCTTTGGAGTTCTAGATTTTAGAGGCTGGTATCACCAACTCTTGTATGAAATTAAATAGGCCAGCATGGGAGTTAGTTGTATGCGAATATGGTGTCTGTGTGAAGCACAACATTAAACATTAAAGGATGGAGCGGCTCTCTTATCTAGGAATATGACAAAGTTTATTTCTAAAACCTGACAATCCAGAGTTTGGACCAGGAAGCAGAGCTGCTGTCGTATACACTTTTCTGTGCTTCCATTAGAACAGTCACCCACCCAAAACCCCATAGAGAATGTGTCTGTCCCCCGACCACCTAAATTATTTAAAAAAATAAAAACAAGAGGAATCATAAAACATGAAAACCTAATAAAAATTAAAACTAACTCCTCAGTAGCACAAAATAAAAGAATGAAATGTGGACTGTTAAACATCAGGTCTCTGTCCTCTAAAGCTGTTCTAGTGAAGGAATTAATATCAGATTATGACTTATGGCTGTGCCACGAAGAATATGTTAGCCTAAATGAATCCACCCCCCCAGTCATATTTATACTCACATTCCTTGAGGCACCGGCCAAGGAGGTAGAGTAGCAGCCGTATATAATTCAAGCATTTTAATTGATCCTAAACCCAAAATATATAATTCATTTGAAAGCCTTGTTCTTAGTCTTTCTCACCCGACCTGGAAAACACTGCAGCCAGTTCTGTTTGTTATAGTGTACCGCGCTCCTGGCCCGTACTCTGATTTTATATCTGAATTCTCAGAGTTTCTATCAAGTTTAGTCCTTAAATCAGATATTGTAGGTGATTTTAATATTCATGTGGCTGTTAACAATGACAGCCTTAGTAATGCATTTATCTCATTTAGACTCAATTGGCTTCTGTCAGAGTGTAAATAAACCCACTCATTGTTTTAATCACAATCTATCATATGGCATTGATATTGAACATTTAATAGTCTTCCCACAAAATCCTTTTCTATCTGACCATTATTTAATAACTTTTGAATTTCTATTACTAGATTACAAGCCATTAGGCAAAACTTCCTATAGCAGATGCCTATCTGACAGTACTGTAACTAAATTTAAGGAGGAGATTCCATCATTGTTTAATTCAATGCCATGTCTGAACACAACAGAGTCCTATAACAACTTTAGTCCCTCCAAAATTGATACTCTTGTTAGTAGTGCTGCAGGCTCATTACAAACAACATGAGATCCTATCGCCCCTATAAAGAGGAAAATATTAAAACATAGGAGGCTAGCACCGTGTTACAACCACCAAACCCGCCAATTAACGGAAAAAAACGCGAATAAAAATCTGAAAGGAAATGGATTATTACTATAAACACTGCTCATTGTCCCCCATCGTTGTTGTTGTTGTCGTCATCATCTTCTTCATGTTCATCATCATCAAACACTACTATTAGTGTAGTTGTTGATACTTTTGTTGCTGTGCACCTTTGTCTTTGTCTCTCTCTCTCTCTCTCTCACCCCAACTGGTCGAGGCAGACGACCACCCACCTAGAGTCGAGGGGTCTGTCAAAGGTTTCTGTCTCTTAAAAGGAAGCTTTTCCTTGCCGCTGTCGCCAAGTGCTTGCTCATGGTGGTGTAGGGGTTACACTACTATTTAATAAGAAAGGTAATTAATCACTGAAGATTAATAATACACTCGTAAATGGGGCACCACCTCCGTTGTTTAGCTACTGGAATAATCCGGAGGAAATTATTCCACAGATCTAATCAAATCAATTTCAAATCAATTTATAAAATTTCAAAATCTATATTCAATCTCATATTTGTGAAGTAGTGATTTGTTTTATACGATTCATCGATTTTCCCACATCAAATCAAACCTGCACCGACAAGGACATACGATTATATATGTTTATTAACTAAGCTAATGCAGAGTAAATAGTATGAAATGATAATGCAAACCAATGACAACAAGTAACAGAGTATGTGGACAATATATAAATTATTACTATTAGGTGATTCAGGAGCGATGGTAGATTTTGCATGCGGCAGTAAGTTAAAATATTACGAGAGTAAATTTTAGAATTGAGAGGCCCTAATCGAAGATTCTCTTAAACTTAAAATATGGGTATCAAAGTTTACAGACAGACACCAGCTCTTTTTCATGTGTGTGAATCCGGCCGTGTACCGGAGAGTCAGCCTACTTTGTTTGTAGATGGAACTTGAAAGGATTCCAGGTCCTTGGCTTTCCTCCTGCTCAACTGCGGCTTTGCATCACTGATCCAACAGGCCGAAGGAAGTTGCGTCTCGTCCCTGGTACCAGTGGCCCTTCAATTCAAAGGCCCAGCGCATAGTTTTACGCTTGAGTGCGTTGGAGGCAGAGAGTCGCTGGATAATAATGTCTTTGTTCGGCTGGAAACGTTTGTACGTCTTCTTGAGCAGTCAACTACTGCAACGTCCTTCTGGCTGATTATAAATGTCTTAGAGTGGTTGGTCTTCAGCTTTTATTGTAAACTAATTCAGCTTCTTGTTTGAAAATAACTGGAGGATGAAACGCTGGCCTGGTGAATCCTCCGTCGTCACTAAGTCCAAGAATTAAACTAAATTCACTTTCTGTGAATCAGGCGACAATACTTGACGATACTACAAAAATATAAAAGAAGAAATTTGTTCGTGTCTTGAGCTTTCAAAATAAAAGTACTTAGAAAAGTACTTTAGCACCGCAAGTCATTACTTGAGGAAAAATTCAACACGTGTCGCAAAACGAAGTACGGAAATTAAAATTAAGAACGAGAGTAAATAACGAGTGGATCTTAGAAAGAAGAAAATTTAAAAAGGACTGAAGAGATCAGAAGAAGAGCAGAAGAAGAGAAGGAGTGACCGGAGTCTGTTCCTTATATATTTTAATCTGAAGGCGTATCCGGAAAGGCTAATCACGTCATTTCCTTTAGCGATATTTTGATATTCGTAACTTTATAATTTATTCCTATCGTCTCTAAAAGTTTCAAAATCATAATTCACCATTCACAGAACCCACCATGACTTATACATAAAAAAAAAATAAAAAGTACACTTTATAATAGCATTAGTTAAATGAAAAAAAACAAAACGCATAATACACATTAGTATGTAGTTTATAAACACAGTTAAAAATGTTTTTATTTATTATTAAAAAACACATTAGTTAGATTAGTAAATACTGAATTCATCATTTATAAAGCCTGTTTCTGCTGTAAATAGTCATCACTATGTGGTTTATAACACAGTTTTTCCACATAATCAACATTATTAATGATTATGACTGTGTTAGCAGATGTTCTATAAACACTCACAACAAATTCATTTTCTAATGATGGCCTATAAACAGTTATTAAAGCAGGAATTCACAGTTACAAAGCACTTACTACTCGTTAATTAAGTATTTTGTGTGAGCTCATCTAAAGTGAGCACTATCTATGGCTTATTAAGGATTTACAAATGAGATAAATAAAGGCTGACAATGCCTCGAAAATTAATTTTTTTTTTTTTTTTTTTAAAGAAAAAAAAAAAAAAAAAAAAAAATATTATATATTTTTTTTTTTTTTTTTTTTTAAAATTTTTTTAAAAAAAACTTTTCCAAAATTTAATTTTTTTTCATATATTTTAAAAAAAAAAAATATATTTTTTTTTTAAAAAAAAAAACTCTATAAAAAAAAAAATTTTTTTTTGAAAAAATTACAAACTTTCTGTATCAAAAATAATTTACACACACAATTTAACGTAATTCTAAATCCTATCTCAAAGAAACGTCTAAAAATTATTTGAGACAGACAAAATAAATATACTCAACACATTTGAATTTTACAACACTACAAAAACAAAGTGCACTGAATTCTTGGAATTTGTCTCACAGAAAGAAAGTCTTGCTAACAACGGTTACAGTGACTGCATATGACTATTTGTATTTTTTGGAAATGTCATGAATCAGTCTGCCAAATGCACCCTTACAGTGTTTCTTTGCGAGCCATTCATTCCACTCAATCACTGAAAGGTGGTCGGAAAGCAAACTGTCAGTGCGATTTCCCCTAAGCCTCCAGATCTGCTCCTTGTAGGATCTCCAGGCCCTCTCAAGATGCTGGGTATGGGCACCAGTTTGGGGATCTACATACCACCTGCTGTGGTTGACAGTGTGATGATTGTACCCTAGTGTAGAGAGTATGCGATACGCACGCCACTCATCACTGATAACTGTAGATTCAAGCCTCACATGATGGGCAATCAAGGGGATCAGATGTCTTCGAGATCTTCTCTCCACAAGACGTAGAATAGGCTTTCTTCGTCCTTGATGATGCCTCACACCTAACATCCCAAAGACCCACTTCTTTCTTTTCCACCCACCAGCCATTCTTCCTCTCCCATACTGATGCGGAAACAAAACAACAAACACAGACAAATACAGATACATTCTATTACAATAACTTGTTTGACTGTATTTGACACTTAATTACAGTCACTATTACTATAACATACCTTTCTTTTGTGCCGAAAAAGGCTCTCATCGATCACAACAAACTCCCTTCTTCCACCAATCTGTTGGCCTGTACGCCTTCTCATCCTTTCCACTGCTGTGACACAAACCTCCCTTATTTTTTTTGTCATTGTAGTGAGAGTGGTTGAACTGGCTGCAATTGTGTCATCCATCATATCAATCTGTCGTAATCGTAGACCCTGACAAAATCTTCAAAGGCAAATGAAAAAAAAAAAAAAAAAGAATGTTTATGTTTCTCTAAATTCATTGACAAAACATGCTATGCATTATTTTGTATATTGAGTGTTTTATGCAATTACAGAGAGAACAGCAATATTCTGGTATGATATGTGTTTATGTTATTATTGTTATTACTTGCTCACCTGTACATGAACTGCATCCAGTTACTGAGGGAGACCTTTGAATGACTGAAGATTGACTTGTGCCTGATGGATTTTTGTTTTTCCTTTCCCTTATGTGCTGCATGGCGACAGGTCCTATTTAAAAAGTACAGTAATATAAAATACTGTTTATTTAGGAAAGGGCTTCATGCAATACTGTATTCTCCACCACTATCTCACTTACTCACTCACTCACACACACACACACACACACACACACACACACACACACACACACACACACACACACACACACACACGTTTGGGTCGTAATGGGAAACATAATCAGGTTACCAAAAAAATGCAACTATAATCAGCACAAAGTACACTTAAAAAAATTTATAGATTGTCAGTTACAAAGATTACTTGTTTGATTACGTATTTAAAATATGGCAATTTCAAAATCCTAAAACTGTACAGTACAGATGTAGATGTTCATGCCAGTATGTTTTTGTGAGGGTAATTTGATTTGAACAATTCTGAATGCTGGATATGTTCTACTGTAGCCTATAAGTAAGTTACTCCTCTCAGGTTGCTAGTTTTTTAAATGATGACTTTTTTATATATTTTTGTTTAATGAATTATAGATGATGTTTTAATTCTTCTTTATTTACATTAAAAAAATGAAGGTGAACATTTTGAGGAAGTGCTCCTCTAGCTTCACAACCACAAAGTCCTCCATGTGGCCCTTGATTAAATAAATAGCTGCAGCAAAAACTTAGACAAAATAAATATCCCATGTAGCAGGATACACACAGCGTATTTGCAGCTTGTGCCAGTACTGTTTTTGTAAGTTTAATTTGATTTCACCAACTGTAAATATAAAATATGCATAATGCATTCTATTTGCACTGAAAATGTAAATGGTGTAATATTGTCATTTAAGGATTTAGATTAGATAACATTACTAACTACATAAATTGCATTTAATTTGTATTGTGCAGCCTGATTACATCCCAAAGTAATCTGACCCAAGCACACATCAACACATAACTGCAAATTATTTTAAATGTACCTATATGTAATTATACATTTCTCACCAAGCATATAGATCTCCACTGTTCGTCCTCTTTTTCAGTTTCATATCCTGATGGCATATTTTGCATTTGACTTTTCTTTTTAGCAGTTTCCTCTTCTGAAGCCACTTTATCAGCTTCAGGGCGTTTCTTTTCGAGGTTTCCTCCTTAATGAGCTTCTTCAGTCGGGTGAATATGGTCATGGTTTTATGCATTTAAAAAAGCATTAAACCAGAGAATGTCTGTGGTGGTTTGGGAAGTGTACGTTGAGCTTGCGATCCCGCTCTCAGCACGTCATCAACGTGATGACGTTGGGAGGCGGCAACATTTTACGTTCATATTTACCGGTACGTTAACTCAGCCAAGAAAAGCATGGAGAACTCTGTCCTAAATCGACGAGGGCGAATGCGGACGCGGGCCAATAAGAATGGCGGTGTGGGGATGGATACACTGGAGTCGGCGGCCGTCAGCGGCACTAGTGGTGAGTATGTGTCTTTGGTTGCTAGCACACATTGTGGATGAAAGCTAACGTTAGCTTGTCAGCAGGTAACGTTACTACCGACCCGCCCGCGATGGCTAAGCCGACCTGCCGCTGCCACCTCGCCCGGAGACTGACTTAACCGCAGCGACAACATTACAAGTTAAAAAAAAAAACTTTTAGGAAAATATTCAAAGTTATAATGATAAATGCACCCCAAAGTTTACATAAAATAAATTGCATGCTTTATGTGCTTCACACAAAATGGAAATAAAAGTATATGCATGTATTTATGTTATGACAGAAATACATATAACGTTATGACATGCATACACTGACATAGAACATATACTGAATAGAAATTATTTCACATGAGATCCACTGTTTAAAGTTGCTTAAATGTCAAAGCATGCCAAAATCACAAGTGTCTGAAAATATACTCAGTTGGTGTATAACGTTCTACATGCGTTTTATAATGAACACTTTCTTTCTTTTAGGTGTGTCCATGGCCCCTACTGCACAGCTGGTGGACAAAAGGAAATCACACGAGTTGGAGATGTGTAAGCAGAAGGTAGAGTTGCAAAAGGAGAAGATTGATGAACTTATCAAAGAGAGAGACTACCTAAAAGAACAGTTGGCATCAGGTAAGTCTCCCTACACACAATATGTTGAGGAATTCTTGTGCAGTTGGGTCTTATTATATTAGTTTACTGTATCTCTGGAGATTATGCATATGTCTCTGTGGCATATTGGTCTAATGTTTGTATTTCAATCATTTTAACAGCTCTTAAAAAAAGGGAACAGGATACCCAGGCAAACTGCTTGCCTTCATCTTCCTCCTGTGATGGCTCAGAGGAAGATTCCTCTGATACCGTGTCTGCCTCCTCCTCTACTGCATCCTCATCAGAGGACAAGAAAAAAAAAAGAAGAAAAAAAAGGGGAAAGAGAGAAAGTCCAGAAAGTCAAAGAAAATGGAACACAAAGAAAAAGAGAAAAATAATTTTTTTTCCCCCTTTTTCTTCTTGCGTTTTTGGTTTGGTCCTGCTTAGCTCTGCTGTATTGTTCCTCTCCTGGCTGGTTCTTCTCACATGATGTAGTATTCTATGTGTGATTGTTGTTGGCGCTAACTAACTTAATGTACTGTAACAAATCACTTTCTGGATAGAGAGGAATAACCTAGAGAACCATCTACATATAAGTCTCTTAGTTGCAACTGCTCTGATCTCAGGTCTCCTACTCTAGAAACTGAATGTAGTGTGTGACTCCCAAGCCTACAATGAGTGTAGTGTGTGTGTTTGAAAGTGCATGTGTAAATACTACCATGTACTACCTTTACTGTGCATAACACTAATTCTTTGTCGTCTGAATTGCAGTCTCAAAACCGGATCAGGCTGTATCCCGGTACAAAAATTCTCAGGCTGTTCAATCGAGGAAGGACCATGTCTGCTGCTTTCAATGTTGGGGTGGACCGGAACACGGTTGTTTCACTGCTCCAATTGCAGAGCTGTTTATTGCTGCACCCAGCAAATATAAGGAACTCCTTAAAAGCCACAACAGTCAGGTGAAACTCAGCGAGTTTGCCACACAGTGTGCCACTTCAGTTCAGGAGGATCCAGGAATAGTGGACACAGTTAAAGCCTTTAAGGTTTCCGGAAAGCTGCTTCCCCTGAAAACAAAGTGAGCTAAAATGCTAGCTCAACACTGACTGAATGACAGTCAGCAAGAATTTGTCTTTCTGTGAGACAAATTCCAAGAATTCAGTGCACTTTGTTTTCGTAGTGTTGTAAAATTCAAATGTGTTGAGTATATTTATTTTGTCTGTCTCAAATAATTTTTAGACGTTTCTTTGAGATAGGATTTAGAATTACGTTAAATTGTGTGTGTAAATTATTTTTGATACAGAAAGTTTGTAATTTTTTCAAACAAAGATTTTATTTTTTGATAGAGTTTTTATTTTAAAACAAAGATTTTATTTTTCATATTTGAAACGTCTGTGATCCACTGTTGATGTTGGCAAGTTTTTATTCAGCCATGTTTAATAAATATCAATACAATATGTTCTATATCCCTTTGTGTTGTGTCTCTCCTTCGTCTGTTAAGATAACTGAACATTTTGTGAGTCTCGAGGCATTGTCAGCCTTTATATCTCATTTGTAAATGCTTAATAAGCCATAGATAGTGCTCACTTTAGAAGAGCTCACACAAAATACTTAATTAACGAGTAGTAAGTGCTTTGTAACTGTGAATTCCTGCATTAATAACTGTTTATAGGCCATCATTAGAAAATAATTTGTTGTGAGTTTTATAGAACATCTGCTAACACAGTCACTAATCATTAATACGTTTTTTTTATATTTTTTTTTTTTAAATTAAAATTTAAATTTTAAAAAAAAATAAAAATTTTTATTTTTTTTTTTAAAAAAAAAATTATTTATTTTTTTTTATTTATTATTTTTTTTTTTTAAATTTTTTTTTTTTTTTTTTTAAAAAATAATTAATTTTTTTTTTTAAAATAAAAAAAAATTTTTTTTTTTTTTTTTTAAAAAAAAAAATATTTTTTTTTTTTTTTTTAAAAAAAAAGGAATTTTTTTTTTTTTCATGCTTAACTAATGCTTAATAGTGTGTACTCATTATAAAGTGTTACCAACCAAATTACTTGATGTAAAGGAAAAGTAGAACTGATTAAAATCATTAAATCATAATCATTAAACATGCATATAAAGTAGCACTGAGGGATTGTACATATTTCGTATAGTGCTAGCTTAATCCTTGTTACAAAAATTATGTGTCAGGCATTTACTATTTGGAATACTACACAATTATAAAACAAAGTCCGTTTTGAAGATACCTTACGCTATACCAGAATCTTACCAAAAGGTGGCACTGTGGCTCCATTAAACATTCAGACATTTTACACATGATTTTGTAACATAGTCCGATCTGAAGACAGGAACATCAGACAAACATTACATTTGCGACCTTCCCATGGTGGGTGGCAATCTGTTAATTAGGAGGAGATGAAATTTTACAATAGCATTAAATTAGAACTAAATCTATATCACTGCAAGTGCTGTTTCTGCTATCTAGATGGAATGTCCTAACTAGCACATGGGCAACTCATAAATTTCCCTTAAAGATAAGCGTGATAGCATGCCATGTGTGGTTTCAGAGGAGTTTCTCTCTGGAGGTGGACCTGTCAGACCAAAAGAGATGTAAACACATTTCAGGGATATCTAACCCTAATTTACAATCAAAAAGGCATTTGAATTATCACACACGATCCACTTTAGGTGTAGGGTGTCGTTCTGATCTGTGGAGAAGTCAGTGTTCTGTTAAAGAGGATAAAACAAATTGACACCTTGAGTTCCCATCTGAGAATCTGAAAAGAACCAGGCTCTCCGTGCAGGAGACTGTCGGCGCCACAGTCTCACCTCCCCTCCTGGGTCAAAAAGGTCAAAGGGAAAGAGGAGGCCTTGAAAACTCTCCTGGTGGAACAGAATCAAAATAATATGACGATTGTTGAATTAAGAGACGGATAAAGTGTCTCTTGTAGAGGAAGACGAGGACAAGGTCCTACAGTGGGAATTGTTGGGTCTCTGTAAATAATGTTATAAGGAGTTCGGTCTAGACCTGCTCTATTTGAAAAGTGTCCTAAGATAACTTCTGTTATGAATTGGCGCTATACAAATAATATTGAATTGAATTGAATTAAACTAACATCGCAGGAAAAGGCAGGCTCTTGTGCAGTGCTTTAATCCTTTGTCATGCATCGTCGGCCAGCTGGGCCATACCGAGGTCGAGGGGCTTGAGGGGAGAGAGGGGAGAGCATAAGAGCGAGAAGAGGAGAGAGCGAAGAGAGGCAGAATAACACCGTGCCATGAGTTTTATCACCTGGACATCGCGTATCATCAATTCACATCCGGTTACAATGAGGTGACAGGAAGTGACCCGTCACAATAAAAGTCCAGTTAACCACACCAAATGAAAGGGTTCATATTTAAAGGTCTCCTTTGACCCTACAGTATTGTTTCATCCAAGGAAATTTGTTACAGAGCCTCACAAAAATAAATGCTTACATAAATACATTATAAGCCACTACGTGAAAGACAGATACAGATACTTTGTGTTTTGTCAAGTGGACAGCTCTAAGTCCAACTGTAAACTAAGACTGAGATGCATTTTGATGTTATCAAACCACTTGGCAAGGTTGCATTTGACCCCATATCTTTTCTGGTATTTGCGAGAATTGTCAGATTGATGGTCCGAGCCTGTCCCGCAATGTCTGGCAGTGCAGTGTTTAGGTAAAATTAAACATAACATCGCAATCAATACAAGTGGTCTGTTCAAGTGCAGAATCACACAGAGAAAGACTGTTACAGAGACCTGCTCACACAGAGCTGCCACACTAGAGGGATAATGTCTAAGGTGTTTGCACAGGTACTTAACATTAGGCACTGACCACCTGACATCAAGCCCCTACATCCTGAAAGCCACTGAGCACTACAAAGATTTATTCTCACCTTGAAAACTCCCGCCTTTGAAGCTGTACAAGTCACCAGATTTCAGTGTTGTCAAACTATGTAACTATGACATAAGGTTAGAGGTCCTTAAAGGTCCTTAAACACCAGCTGGTGACACCAGAAAAGACAGTCAAAAACATTCCTGAGTATGTCACTAAATTCCAAGAGTTGCTCTTTGGAGAGGTATGCCCTGACCTTTTTTCAGGTGAAAATGAAGCAGCATTATGACCATAAGTAATCTACTAATTTTAGCCAGGTGTTAGGTTTTTGATTATTTTGCCTATATCTGGTTCTGCCCTCTCTGCTTGATTTTCTAGTCTCTGTGTTGTAGAAAGTAAAAGCAGTGAGACCATCAACATCATCAAAACCCCTGATCGCAGGTGACGAGCCTTGTGTGATGAAGCTGTACCATAGCAGAGTGGACCCAACTGTGCCACCTTTGGTCCAAGACACAAACTACACACACACACATCTGTGCATTTGACCTCCAGGGGTTAGAAAGCCTTATTTAGATACCTGAATAGGGTAAAGACTAAATGTACATAGATGCATACACAATATACAGAGAAACTGAAGTTCTAGTTATCCAAATTATTTGGAACCGAACTGTGTGTTCAGTAAAGTGTGGTGTCGCAGCACAAGTAGTGCTGATAAAAGGATTTGTTGTAGGTATAAGGCAGGGGTGTCAAACTCATTTTAGTTCACAGGCCACGTATAATTTGATTTCAAGCCAGTTGTTTTCAGTTAATTTAGCTTAACAGATGGATGCAGACAGATACTAAAATACCAAAGGGATCACAGTCTCAACAAAAGGTTTTCTCAAGCGTCCATATCTTTACTCTCAATCCCACTCTCCTGGCTTCCCTCCGGCCAGTTCATAGTACATAACACCCGCCCCCCTTGAGACTGATAACCAATAAAAAATGACAAATGACCTAAGATCATGATAGAAATGAGAAGTTTATTTAGTGAGATATCTGTCCCTCCTCACTTTTTAGACTACTATTTTTGTCATATACACTTCTACAGTTTCATTAAAATGTCTATGAACACTGTCCTCTTACTGTCCAGCCACCAATGAGAGAAGATCTGAGTTGATAAAAATCTTGATACACTGATCAGCTTCAATAATTCATTGAAATTAATTTTTACAAGCAACGGGCACTTTTGTAGTGGGTTTGTTCCGTCATTCCCACTACACCTTTTCTTGTTTACCAACTATGTCACTGATAATTTGATTACATTTGGTGAAACTGGATCATATGAAAATGTTTTTCTGGTTGTCCCTCTGATGTCCTCCGGCTGCTCCTCATCTCACTTTCTTGATGGACAGTAAACTACTGCTAAATGTAGCTGCATTTAGTTTGTCAGCTTAGCTGTACTGTCCTGGATGCCCGGGACTGGGCATTTAGAGCACTTAAAGAGTGTTGGCATTTAGGAGGAAGTTTTCAAGACTGGGACAGGGTGGGGTTCTGACAGAGAACTAGAGCTGTGCGAGTGGCCAATGTAACCGGGAGGTAGCTAATAAGAGAAAAGGAGAGTGTGACTGAGCTAGAGGCCCCGTTGACAAGTAAATGTGGGACTGGATTTTATTTGTTGGAGAAAGCTTGGTGAAATAAAAGGCTTCAGACTGATGGTCAACTTGCCTTCTTGCTGTTGGACTAGTCAGTAATAATAGCTGGCTTGTGTGGTTGCCCTTGCTTGAAGTTGTTTTTGATCATTAAGTAATGTAAAGTAACAAATGTACAGCTGTCCATATTTACCACCGTGGCATTGCAACTGGGGGTGCCAAATCTTACATAGTGTTGCTTTAATCATCTAATTGGTAGTTTGTTGAGAGGATGACCTGCTGACTCTACTCAAGCCTCTACCTGCTGTATGTTCTTTTGGCTGGAAAAAACTTTTTTCGTATATGTATATTTTGATTATTGAATCAGAATTTTCTCCAAAAACAGTGGACATTAGTCCATGACAAGGCAGTAAAGATAAGTGTGTGCCTTAGAAAATGTTAATACAACATAATCTTGCATTTAATATCAGGTCTTGTATCAAGTCAGGTCAGCTGTCAAGTGACTGATTGTAAGGACTTTATTTAGTGTTTTATGTAATGAGGTGGCTTTTGCTCAGAGGTAGAGTGGGTCGTCCACTAATCGGAAATTTATTGGATTGATCCCCTCGCTCCTCCCCACTGCATGTCGAAGTATCCTTGAGCAGGAACTGAACTGAACCCCAGATTGCTCCCGATGCTGTGTCATCTGTGTGTGAATGTGAATGTATGAGTTTCTGTTCGATGGTCTTTGCCATCACTGTGTGAATGTGTGTGAAAAGGCGAATGTGGCATGTAGTGTAAAAGCACTTTGAGTGGTCGCTATACAAGTACAGTCCATTTACCATCTATGTAAATGGACTGTACTTGTATAACATTCAACTGCTTTTGTTAGTATACCAGTTTTATGGAAAGCTTGAAAGCCTCCAATCTCCTCATCATGTTATATGCTGTGTAATATTTGCATATTAGAATATTTGAAGAACCTTTAAAAATGATTGTATCTCCAACTCCTGAAACCAAGGCCCTTTGGCGCGGAACGGAAAATAGTTTTTTTTTTTTTTAAATCATACACTTGACCAACACACACCTTGATCAACAGATTCTTTTAATAAATAATATCATCATGAAAAACAAAAACTGACCAAAAAATGGTTTGTGTCTAACATCTGAACAATATCTTTTTTATCATTACAGGATCAATTGAACCAATGAAGTAGGCAGCGGCACATTATACAAAGCCAGATGATGCAGATGTAATTAGCAGAGCGGGTGGGCAGTTGATTCAAACACTAACAAGTTCAGACTACAAGGTGACTGACTGAAGAGAGGGAGTTGGAGGGATGAGGGGAGTGAATGGTCATAACTGTGGCGTCCTAGTCCATGAAACCCCCGTACCTCTTCTGTAGCTCGCTGCCGTTTTCCCAAGCCCGTTTCAAGACCCCACCACTCTTGTTGCTGTCCACCAGCCACTCAGGCCTGCCCACACGCCTCATGAACCCTCCATAGCGCTTCTTGAGCCCGCGGCCTAACACAGCCTCCAGCAGGTCACCGTGCGCCAACCCTTCTTCAGCCCGGCGCATGAAACCTCCATACCTCTTAACCGCATCGCCTCCCTGACCATCCCCCTCACTGCCATGCTCAGATGCTGCATTGAGAATCTTTAGGACCTCCAGGCGAACATTTTCTTCCTCGTCCTGGCTTCCAGGATTCTCTAGTGCGCCTTCTGGAGAGGAGGAGCGGCGAGACATGAAACCACCGTAGCGCTTCATAAAGCCACCGTACTTCTTGGCCAACTGGTGTTCCGGTGATGCATCCTTATCATCAGTCGTTATGGTGCCCACTCCTTCCTGTTCTTGCTGTTGACGGGGGTCAGCATCCAGAGGAATGTGGTATTCCTCCTCCAGTAGGAAGTCCCGGCACAGGCGGAGCTTCTGGCTGTCCAACCCACCCTCGCACTCAAGTGAGCATGTCTGGAAAAATCAAAATCATCATTATGTCTTTTAATTATCAATCTTATCAATAAAATTTTTGAAAATTACAAAATACTGTAATTCTTCCGTTGAATCATTAGTACATAGTAACAGGTTGTATCAGGAAAAAAGTCTACCATATGGATTTTTTTTTCAGCCTACTCATAAGATAACCAATAATTTCAAAAGTTTATAATCTGTGCACACCTGAGGGTAAGAAAGGCTAGGATATAGCTAGCAAAGTTGGATAATTTAATATTCCATAGCACTGTTAATCAATTCAAACTTACATCACTAGTGTTAATACAACAAAAACAAATAACAGTTCTGACTCTTAAGTTAATCAAGATAGTCACAAACACACTGGCTTTCATACAACATAAGGCCTATCAATCAATGAATGAAACAGAGGAAGAGAAGCAAGTTTGTAGCTAGTTAATGTGGAATTAACTGTTAATGTTATACATCATCCAATGCATCGAGTCCACAAGTATTTGTTTTAGTAAAGTTGGAAGTTATTTATTCCGTGTTTTGAACAAGTGTCCTGAGATAACTTCTGTTATGAATTGGCGCTATACAAATAAAATTGAATTGAATTGAATTGAACAACAAGACTTGATGATGTTATACTATGTTGAAATATTCAGTCGCTTTGCTGGTTGTTCTGACAGAATCATTACTGCTTTTTCTTGCTGTCATTTAACAGGCGGCTGATAAAATGTATATATTTAAATAATTTAATTAATATCATAAATGTGCTACAACTAGTGGACTATTTATTTAACAACTACAAAGCACTGAATATTATTATCTTAAGGTGGCATTAGAAATCAATGGTTTATTTCTAAATCTTCTGACTTTTTTTCAAATATATGTCTTTCTTCGTATAGTATATAGATTAAGTCAAAATTTCAAAAATTTGGCAATAATGGATTGTATAATAGAAATTAATTTCCAACTTTTAACACAAATGTATCTAAATTCACGTCTTAAAGTTGACAGCATTTGACACCAAACTCAGGTGCCAGCCCCTCAACATCTGCTCCTCATTGTGGTAGGAGAGTCTTCCAAGAGTTATCAAAGAAGAAATTAAGATTTCATAAATTTTTCACTAACAAATGAAGACCAAAGAAAAGGTTTTCAACCACATATCCTTTGTGGGTCATTCCACATCACTGATGTTTAATTTCCCCACCCTGGTCATATAACAAAATAGAGAATGGAGACAGAAACACACAGAGAAAACTCTGCCATCTATCTCCAACATTATATAGATATAGAGAAACATAGACAAAGACTACACTAAAGAGAGAAACAGTCAATGAGGTAGAGATTACAACAATCAACAGATGCCAACAGCCCATTTTATCTATGGGATTCCTGATTTACTCCCTTAACAACTTAGAAAATCACAATGTCTCCCATAAAACTATCTACCCCAGCCTGTTCCTCACATATTGACACAGTATCCTATTCATCTAATGGAAGCCTCCCCTACCCCACCACCCACTTATCCCAGTCATCCTTTAACTATGCAAGTCCATATAACCCCGGTGGTTAGAGTATAATCAGACTAAAGGCCTCTGCTGGGCCCTGGGGGCTGCATACTGCCAGAATAACCTGCTCCCAATCTCATATGTGTCATTGGATTTCACTTATTTGAGCAATCAGAAATTCCTGTTGAATGGCATGGAGGAGGGATTCTTGCTGAGCTTGAATCGGCACGATGGCTTATGAAGACAGAATTAATGAACAGGAAAATTGAATTGAGGACATATTGGCACCTGAGGGGCTGGGTGGGTGGAGGGCAGTAGCACCCTCTGGTAGCCATAATGAGAAGCATACAACAAGTTCAGCACCAAAGAAAGAGAAAAATGTGCAATTTTCAAATTTCAAACCTCCAGAAAACATTCAATTTGGATTTTTATTGATAATACATTTGGTCAGGCTCTTTATACTGTAATTACCCCCTTGCCAACAGTCACAGGTTTGTAAGTTTTCTTTACATAATTTAGGAAATTACATCCAGAAAATCTTGGAACGAAAGGAATCCCTTTAATACATTATCAAAATGAACCACTGCACACTGGGATGACTTTACTGTGATTTATTTAATATATATTTTAGAGGACTGACTTCTCTATATGTCTAGACATTTGACACTGCTGTAATTTTAGAGAATACTAAAATCCATTAATAATATAATTAGAACATTCTTCCATTTATTTTGTTTACAGGTCGTATTAGAGTAGTTCTATCTGAATAGGAGATAAAATAAGAGCTTTTCATGATGTTATAAAGTTTGACACTGAATACATTTTTGATTTGCTCATTGTGAATTTGCGTCAGTTGATCACAGATGTTGATATAGGTACAAAGGAAAGCATTCTACTGAGTTCATTATTATTTTGGTCAGACATCAATCTTGTTGCACAGTCAGTTATTCAAGCTTTGGTTGTTGGGAGTCTGCAGAATAGCATACAGAACAATATTATCATGATTACAGTCATCCACATGCTGAATGAGGAGGGATTCAAATGGGAAAAGAAAATGGGTGACGAAAGGGATTTGAAAACAGAGGGAAAGGAGGAGAGCGGAATTAAGTATGGAGGAAAGGAAAGGAAAAACCTGTCAATGAAAGAAGAAGAATGAAATACTGTATATTTTAAGTTTACTGGAAAGTATTATCATGATAAGTCATGTAATAACTGAAGATAAAAAATGGGAAAAGAGGAGAGGCGGCCGAAAGAAGGAGGAAACGAGAGGAGGAATGGAAACATAGCTGATGAAAAGTTCATAAACCATACTATGTCTGTCGCTCTGGGTTGGTCGCTGCATATAATTGAGTCTATAAAACTTACCACACTATACTGTCTCTGCAACTTCACTTATTTATCAGTGTGTTAGAAATAAACTCAAATATTGTGACATTACCAGGGAGGAGAAACCAGACTGCTGTCCCAGCAAACGGTACACACACAGTGCACACTCCTTCCCGCAGTCCATTCCAACCACCAGCGACACACATGTGCCCAGAACCAGCATCCACACGCAACTGCAGTGTGCGGGGGCAGCCATGGACTGAGCACAGAAAGTGAGAAGATTGTTAACATTAAACTTCAAATTAAACATTTCAAACTACATTTTGAAATCGAATAATAAACAAATCAGACAATGAAATTAACTCTTTAAAGTGAAACCTATATCTTATTTAGCTACTACTAATACTCTTACTACTGCCACTATTACTATTATTACTACTATTAGTCTGCTTCTACCACTACTTACAGCCTACTACTGCACTAATAATACTGAACATTAAATATAAATAATATATAGAGTGTAAAATAAATACTTTTAATTTGAATACATGTAAGTTAAAAATGTAGGTAAACCATGCCTGAGAGTTATTTAAGTGTATGTGTATAGGGATGTTGTTATTATTAATTGCTGATGATTGACAGATTATTACTATTTATAGGGACAGCAGTAGTAGTAATTGCTGGATTTTTAGTGGCAGTAGCAGTAGTAGTAGTGGTTGTTTAAAGTAAATGAAGAAGTTATCTTACCTCTCTTTTGTTTGAAACGATACTTAAGCCGTTCAATGCTTTCCTCGTCCGCGGGTGCCCGGCGGATTGGGGAAACTGTTGAGTTGCACAAGCCTGTGCAGCCAATTTATCTGCGCGTGGCTGGCTGTGTGGTACTCGGTGGGCAGAGCGTTCACAGTTCAGCCAATCAAACACACACACACACAGTGCTTTCTCTCTCTCCTCTCTCTCTGATAATGACCTCTGTCTTCGGTGTTCCTTGACACAAAAGGAAGTACCAGACTGCGGCGTTCGGGGTGTTCGAGGGGAAAACAAACAACCCTGTGGAATCGGTCTAAAATGCTGGGTGTAGTGCTGCGGCTGATGGCTCCGCAGCTTATTTAAATAGTTTATGTGGCTTACGTCACCGGGAATAATGTGGAGGGGGTGGAGGGGTTAATAACCGTGATGATGTGACGTGACAGCACCCCCATCACTCTGTCTTTACCATGCGCGCGCACACACACACACACACACACACACACACGCACACACACACACACACACACACACACCTTTCATACACTTTCACACATTGACTCAATTCATCTGTTTATTGCTTTCCTCGCTTCGTCTTTGTCATAGATAAATGGCAGTCTATCATGCAATCCCTGTATTTCATGTTTCTTGCGTGGTGTGAATGAGAAATGTATGTATTTTATTCTCAACAAAGAATTAATTAACACAGTGCTTCTCAAACTTTTTACACCACGTAACACCTCAGAAAATATTAAGCTTCCCAAGTACCACTGTCCTGACGATGTGGAAAACCAATAGCTATGCCGACCCTATTCGGCAAGGGACAGTTAACACAGGAAGCAGGTTTATTACTAATGAGAAGATTATGTATTGTTGACTTTTGTAAAATCTGAACCGGTTAAAGAACCAGACCGAATTTAGTGGAAACTGGGTACTCCTGGTCCACACTTCCCAATAATGCCCTTTGGGAACCATGGCAACATGCCCGAACGTATTTTGAATAGAGGGGGCTGTGGTCTTGACTGAACCAACACACCTGCAACATGCAAGCACTCTGACTTGATGTCAGCCAACAAATAATAATAATTACAGTTCAGCAACCTCAAAGTTTTTCCAATAATTTCATTCAAAATTGTGTATAATTTTTATATGTGTAGTGATTTAGTTGCAAATCACTGCTCCCTCACTTCACCATCCCTTTGCAAAGAAGAAACTACGGTGGTCACCAAAAACGTGAAAATCATGAATTACCCTGTTTAGAGCCAGTGTTTAGTTTGTCCCTTCTGGGCATGGCCAGCAGAGTACATGTGAGTCAGTCAATTAGGGAACCAGTGTGTAGGATTTAGTGGCACAAACATTGCTAGTCTGTATTTGATGACCTGGGAATGACAAAGGGCTGTGAAGTGTGTAGGAGAAACTACAGCGGCTGTGAAACACACGAAAAATGCGATCTATAGCCAGTGCTTGGTTTGTCCGTTCTGAGCGTTGTCTGTAGATTAAATTCTCAAGTATACTATACTATACCTAGTTATAGTTATTAATATTATATTCAATTTTTGTTAATAGATCCTCCTAAATGTTACACACTGAACCTTTAAATTATTTAAGTTTCCAAAAAATATTTAATCTTTTTTTAATTCTGTCGCATACTATTAGAGGCAGCTTTGAGAACCCATGAGTGAACACATACAAGCTTTGTACATAAGCATGGCTGGCTGGAAGAAACAGCTCTGCAGGGTTTGAGGTGATATGGTAAAAAAAAAAAAGGACCTGTACAGCACCTTCCGAGTCTTCTGGCCACTCAAAGCACTTTTACACTATGTGCCACATTCACCCTTTCACACAGGGAACAGAAACTAATTCATTTATACACCAATGATGAACAGCATCAGGAGCAATTTGGGGTTCAATATCTTTCTCAAAGATGTTTCAACAGGTGGCAGGAAGAACCGGGGATCGAATCAACAACCTTCTGATTAGGGGACAACCCTCTCTGCCTCTGAGCCACAGCCACCCGCATGACATTCTGTTTCATGGTTGTTCTTTTATTGAAAATCCAAATATGTTCCAGTCACTACTTTACTGACCACAGTTAGTCATAATGTTTTTATTATTGTGATTTTCTGTTTGATGTCTGATCAGAGATTAGAACATCCAAGGTCAGTAAAACATGCAGTGAAACCAACCTACTGTCCCTTTATAGCATATAAATCTTTTGTAGGAGTTTTTAGATGCCTGTAACATGATTGGAATGAGCAGGGGTGGCTTCTGTGGCCCAAGTGTCAAATGTTTTTTAGTGTTATAACTGAATCTACATGTAGCAGATTTGTCAGCTATAAATATCCACTCTAAAGACCAACTAATATGTAATTTTTGAGACAAAAAACTATTTTCTCTGTATTATTTTCAATATGGAAACATTTACTGATTTTTAAATATATATTGTATTTATTTCTTTAACAACACCCCCGCAAAATGATTTGCTCCACAATCTTGCCTTAATACATCAATGGTTTACAGTTACTAGCCTTTATTGCGAGTGAATACCTGCAACCTTGTTAGCTTGTTTGTTTGGTAGTTAGTAGTGGTGGCCGGTCAAAAGAAGGCATAAATGCAGCGCCCCACCAGCCATAAAGCTTAATTCCAGGGGTGCCCAGACTTTCTCCCTTGGAGGGCCAAAACTGAGACTTAATGAGATGGATTTAAGTTTCCTTAAAAGTCCAGTGTGTAATATTTAGGATGATTTACTAGCTCAGATGGAATATAAACTGCTATATGCTAACTATGTTTGAATCGTTGTGTTTTCGTTACCCTAGAATGAGCTGTTTTTATCTACAGACGGTTGCCTTCCATGGTGTCTGCCATGTTTCTACAGTAAAACTTCACTGCTAGATGCCATTAAATTCTACACATTAGTCCTTTAATTGACTGACACATTGTTGGCCGTACAATACAATACAAAAACATACATAAACAAGATATTATATTTAAAAACTATACAAGAGTACAAGTTTGTTGCTGAAATAACCAACATTTGGCAGCTCTCTTAAAAGTGATTGTGAGAAATAGTTAGGGATTCTACATATTTAAAATGCATTTTTAGCTCACAAAAGATAAAACAGGCTGAATAGCAATGTATGTTATACTATTTTAAAATAATATTTTGTTTTCTTTAACTAGAAACCTCTAGGCTAAAACACTGGGATTCCTGAGTTCCCATGACCTCACACAAGGGAGGCTGTTTGTATCTCTCAATAATTGTAGTTTATTGTCAGAGAGGCAGAGACTTTAAGGCACTCTACTCTTTTAGGAAATAAAGTATTAAATTAGTTTTGTAATATACATGTTTTATCAATACAAACATTTGTGTTATCAATACAAGTTAGTATTGTTTACATCTAGTCATAGTATGGTAGCCTTGTAGGATAAACTACGTATAGCCAATACTGCAGTAATAGCTGTGTCCAGCTCTACCAGTCCAGTCCAACAGATAGCAACAACCTAACAAAAAAGGAATTACTTTTTATATACACTATTGCCTATACTGTAAGCACTGCTGTAATGATCACAGAAGAAGGCCTTTAAGCATAAAGCAGAAAATCAGAATATGACAACCAAGTCAAGACAATAATTCATGAAAAACTGGAATTAATTTACATTCAGCAATAATGTTGCTAAAAAAACCTACATGTTTTCATGACGTTTTGGTATAAAATTTTGACCACACTGAATTTTTTCTTGTTACTCTTTTGTCCAGAATTTGTAACAGTGCTCTACAGGTCGAAGTGTCCTTGAGCAAGATACTGAAACCCAAATTACTCCCGTTGCTGTGTTGTCGGTGTGTTAATGTGTGTGAAAGGGCATGTAGTGTAAAAGCGCTTTGAGTGGTTGAAAGAATAGAAGGCGCACTACAAGTACAGGTCTATTTACCATTGAAAGTTTAGAGTTGATGAAACAGAAGGACTGTGGCCACCATGGCAATGGTCATGCAGATGCAGCGACTGGTAGCGCCTTCAACAACATTTGTGATATTTTCTTTGGCTTTATTCCTGAAACAGCTCATTGCTCATTCATTGAATTATGTCTGATTCTTATTTTTTTATTGATACACAGCAGTATTTGAAATTCTGATTAGCTTTGATACAAGTCTACCAGGGATTTCTATCTTTCCATCTTCTACCCTAAATAATGTTTCTATAGCAGCAATGACATTTCAATCTACAGCTATTATGTTTCTGCCACATTATATCATGGGTTTGACTTCATGACACTAGCCAAGGTCATCCCCCCCCCCCCCCCCCCAGCCACGATGTTTTTAGACATACTGATGATGTTATGACATTTCGACCACCCTGACATTTCTACATGTGATGATGACATTTGTAAGAGTAACAGTGTTTGTCTTCTCCTCCTGACATGGGGTTAACGTTATTGACTAGGGTCAAAACCAAACAATAAAAGTCAACATCTTACACAGCTGAGCTAAATATGACATAACCAACTTGCCAAAAGTTGAAGCAAATGTAAAAGTGCTAATGATGCATTTGTACTAAGAAATGACTTCTTACCTTTGACAGTATATATAGTGGACAGAGCTTCCGGGTCTGTGACGTGAAGCCATCATTGTTGTCAAGCCCTCCACCTCTGTCTAACTAGATTAGATTAGATTAGATTAGATAGATACTTTATTCATCCCCAAGGGGAAATTCACAGTTTCCAGCAGTATCCACAAACTGATAATAATAATAATAATAATAATAATAATAATAATAATAATAATAATAATAAGAGGAGGTCAAATTTAGAAGAACTAATAGAATAAAGTAGAATAAATAGCTAAATAACGAGCATTGGGTAAATGTCCTAATGTGCATGGTCAAATCCAATGCTTGAAAGGCCTAAGGTGCATAAGTAGTGTCAGTCAGTCAGTCAGTGGTCACATAATGCAGGGAGCACTGCGTCAGGTGGTATAGTTAACTAAAGGGCAGACATTGGAGTTTAGAGTTTTCCTCCCCTGGGTGGAGTTGAAGAGCCTGATGGCGTGGGGGAGGAACGATCTCCTCAGTCTTTCAGTGGAACAGGACAGTGACAGTAGCCTGCCGCTGAAGCTGCTCCTCTGCCTGTAGATGGTGCTGTGCAGTGGATGCAGTGGATTGTCCATGATTGACAGGAGCCTGTTCAGCGTCCTTTGCTCTGCCACAGATGTCAGTCTGTCCAGCATCCTTCTTCTTAATGCTGCCTCCCCAGCACACTACTGCACCACAACAGTTTGATAGAATATTTAGAGCAGTTTTTTGCAGATGTTGAAGGACGCCAGCCTTCTGAGGAAGTATAATCAGCTCTGACC